TGTGTGTGTGTGTGTGTGCGTGTGCGTGCGTGGGGTGTGTGTGTGTGCGCGCGTGCGTGCATGTGAACTTTGACTTGTAGTTGTTTTGAAACATGTAATCCATTTTTCGAAAACCACGCTTGCACGTTAACACACGATCGCCACTCTTATTGACGTAATGAGATCTAATGCGCGAATAACTAAGTCGAGGCTTAGCTACATAGGTACAACTACTTAGCTACAGGCTACATAGACTTAACTACGAGACTTAACCTAGCTACGTTTGCCACTCTTACCGACGAGCGAAGTCGACAGTCCACATAGCAAACAGCATTGCAATACTACTGACCTGCTTCGTATTGCGTACCGCGTGACTACATAGGTCGTGTCGTTGTGCTGCAGGTTTGACAAGGTCGATGCGCTCGGTGCGAAGCTACTGAAGAAGGCACCGCAGTCTGCTGAGGTGAAGGGCGTACTGCAGCGTGTGCAGAACGCACAGAGCGACGTCACCGACGGCTGGAAGGACAAGCAGCAGAAGCTACTGAATAACCTAGACCTGCAGGTGCGTCTGCTGCAGCTCGTGAAGCAACAATGTGAAATGTAACCCCAACATGGACGCCTGCGAGCACACATGTAACCCCAACATGGATGCCAGCGAGCACACATGTAACCCCAACATGGATGCCAGCTGGCACACATGTAACCCCAACATGGACGCCAGCAGGAGTGCATGTAACAATGTGAAATGTACCTGATCATCGTGTGGCAACGATATAACGTATAATGTGAAATGTACCTGACCCTTACACTACTGTTATGGCTTACAATTATACACACACATGAATGTAGTATGTTTACCACCATGGTTGTCCATCGCAAGTACATAACTAGTATTATATCTATTATATCCAGCTACTCTAGTAAATCTAGGATCCCTAACAACACGTAGCACTAGTGGTGGCCCACGTGTACGGCGGCGTGTCATTGTGCTATCATTGCTTCAGCTGTTTAACAGGGAGGCAGACCAGGTGGACTCAGTGAGATGGGGGGGGGGCACGAGCGATATATAACCAGTAGATTTGGCCAGTACAGCTTAGAGGGTCTATGTCCCCCATGGTACTGCCGGAACGTACCCTGGGTACGGTCTGGTATACCGGAACGTACCCTGGTACCAGAGCATCTAAATCAACGTGATTTATATGCTCTGCTGGTACTATCTAATAAGCCGGACCATACCTCGCCTACTCCACTAACGAGTCTAGGGAGTCGCCTATGCCTACTCCCTAACCTTAACCCTAACGCTAACCCTAACCATATCAGATAGTTACCAGGGTAGGTTCCGGCAGTACCCTGGGGGACATAGACCCTATGAGCGCCAGTACATATAACCAGTAGGACATACTGCGTAGTGTAACAACACTTAGCATTGACCCACACATACAGTGTGTTCTGTTGTCGTTGCTTCAGCTGTTTAACAGGGAGGCGGACCAGGTGGACTCGGTGACGGGTGGGGACACGAACACGATTTAACCAGTAGATTTAGGATATAACCAGTAGTGTTCTCTAAAGTTCTGCGTTGTGTACTGTAGTAAGTGTGTACTATCTTCCCTGCTTCAGCTGTTTAACAGGGAGGCGGACCAGGTGGACTCGGTGACGGGCGGACACGAGCGCTACCTGGACGTGCAGGACCTCGGCGGATCGATCGACGACGTCGAGAAGCTGATTAAGCGACACGAGGACTTTGACAACAAGCTGTACGTTCAGGACGAGCGCGTGAAGCAGTTCAGCGAGATGGCCGACAAGCTGCTGCATGCGCAGCATCCCGAGAACAAGTAGTGAGTGTTAATTACACGTTACTAATTAGTCAGTATTAATTACACGTTATTAATTAGTGAGTATATATACATTGTACGTATACGTTATACATGTCACTAGTAGTGAGTATACACACCCCCAGCATCCTGAGCACAAGTAGTGAGTATTACTTACACGTTATTAATTAGTGAGTATTAATTACCCATTATTAATTAGTGAGTATTAATTAACCATTATTAATTAGTGAGTATACGCACGCCCAGCATTCCGAGCACAAGTAGAGAGTATATATGTTATTAGTATTAGTATTAGTATTAGTTATTAGTATTTTATTGTTCAGTCGGTTGTGATATTGATGTGCTGCGCCTTTGATCACGACATTTTATGTAAAAAGCCGCAATATAAATAAATATAATAATAATAATAATAATAATAATAATAGTATACGTCTTAATAACAGTGAGTGTACACGGCAGTAGTAGTGAGTATACATTTCAGTAGTAGCAAGCATCCCGAGCACAAGTAGTGAGTATACACGGCAGTAGTACACGTGTCACTAGTAGTGAGTGTATGTGTCACAAATGTACGTATCAATATAGCGAGTATATATTTCATTATATATACGCGCAACTCGAAGTGAATATATATGTAACTAGTAGTGAGTATATATGCCACTAGTAGTGAGTATGATTGTGTAACTAGTAGTGAGTATACATGTCAATAGTAATGGTGCTGAGCATTATTGCAACGTCATACACTGCATATAGCAATACATATATACCTCCATGAAATGCCATTGAAGCAAGTCAAATTTGACTTCCAAGATACTCGAACCTTTTATTGTATGAATAACAGTTTAAAATGTGGTTGATATTAGGTTAGTGTGAGTAAAAAAAGATAGTGTTAAGCTATGTGCTTATGTGCGTATGGAAAATCATGCTGGGTAATTACCATGCTTTTTGGCCATACACGAAGTGGCTTCATGAGTATATTTACTACCCTTGTGCGTGTATCCTGTCTCAGCATCCATGAAAAACGTGTTGCCGTGAAGCATAGGCGACAGGACGTGAAGAGGAAAAGTAAGGGTAGAAGAGAAGTTCTGCACAACGCTCTCGCCTTCCAGGAGTTCAAAAGAGATGCTGAAGAGGTACGAAATTCACGTACTCTTCTACATTATGTATTCCTACAGTTTGTGATGCCTTTGAATGTTTCCGGAAATGCTTGTCTGGGTTAGAAGTAAGAAAAACATCTGTTGGGACCGTTTATCTATGTGATAGTTAATTTAAACAAACACCATGAATACCTAGTATAATATTCTATTTTTTATTTATTAATCGATACAAAAATGCGTCTAAAATTGGCTATCAAATTGCCCTCTGGCCAATAGTCACCTTTTATGTGAAGAGGTTAGTTTTTGTAAGTGTTGAATCGATACTCAGCTTAAGTAATAAGAACCTACTTAAAGCGAGTGCTGTTGTGGAGAGAAGCGAGGACTAAATGTGCTCCGACATGTGAGATGTAGTTTCACATCAGAAATAATAACTAAAAGTTTCCAATATAACCGAAAATAATAGTGAAAGCTCGAGTGTTGCGGCAATTTTTTATCGAAGCGGTCTTATCGATGTTTGTCCATGCAGCTGGCGACGTGGATGTACGAGAAGAGGCAGATGGCGGCGGATGAGTCGTACAGGGATCCTACCCACCTGCAGAGGAAACTACAGAAGCATCAGGCTTTCCTCGCAGAACTGAAGGCCAACGAAGACCGTCTGGACACTATTAACCAGGTAGCGTATAATAGATCACGGCTTCTCACTTGTCATTAGCATCTCCTTAAACATACGTCTAGCTGTTTGGTGAGATGTACGCAACGTGGGTGTCTGTTTTCCATTCATATCTCACGGCTGGAGAAAATATGAGAAAGGAATTTGTATTTCTTGCATGAAATATGTATTCCTTGTATTCATTGTATGACGTATGAATTCCTTGTGTAAAATTCTATTTCTTGTATTTCCTTTGTATTGAAACACGAGGAAAGAATATGAGAAAGGAATTTGTAATGTTGTTACAATTGCACAATGCGTTAGTTCTTATATTATTTGTTCAATCTAGTACTCTACTTGGTTCCTCATGGTTCCTCTGCTTTGCTAACAGAATGGTCAAGCTCTCATCAAAGCAGAGCACTATGCACAGGCAGAGGTGCAGGAGATACTGGACGACCTCAACCACCAATGGACGGACCTGTGTAGCCTTGCTGCTGACAAACAGCAAAAGCTACAGCAGGTACGTAATGAGAATCTGAAACTTTAGTGTCAAGTCATATAGTGTTCTCCTCTCTCTCTCTCTCTCTCTCTCTCTCTCTCTCTCTCTCTCTCTCTCTCTCTGCTCTCAGAGGTGGGATGTTGGAGGTTGTTGGGTGGGATGCTCTCTCTCTCTTCTGCTCTCTCTTCTCTCTCTCTTCCTCTTCTCCCTCTGCTCTCTCTCTCTCCCCTCTCTCTCTCCTCTCTCTCTCTCTCTCCTCTCTCTCTTCTTTTCTCTCTCTCTCTCCACACACACAACACACACACACACACAACAACACACAACACACACACACACACACACACACGCACTCTCTTCCTCTTTCTCTCTCCAACTTAGTCCCCCTAGACTGCTCTTTTCGCTTTTCCTCACTGTCGCTCCCTCCACCCTCTCTCTCTCCCTCTCTCCCACCTACTCTTACTCTCACTGTCACTGTCACTCTTTCTCTCCCTCACTCTCATTGTCGCTTGAATCAATTATTGATGTGAATAGATGTGATGAACACAGAGGATAGCAAAGTTAGCGATGAGCGCATGTATTCAGACATGCATAACTCGTTAGTGATGCTAATGGTTGGGTAATGTCTTACAGGCAGCTGCGCAGAAGGATCTGTATGGTACTCTGGAAGAGGGACGCAAAACTCTGGATGAGATGGAGCGAGCTCTGGCCACGGATGACGTCGGAAAGGACTTGAGGTCGGCACGAGACATGCTGGCAAAGCACCAGGTATATGACTATTCTGTTTGTAGCGCTGTTTTCACTTTCTCATTCTCTGGTTTTATTTTACTCCCTTGTATCCAAATGTTTATATGTGTAACCCGATAAAAACGCTGTGTATATATTCTGTGAGGAAATTTGCTTGGATTTTTTTAATCTCGTTACGGTAATATCTTTATATCAAACGTTCTAATAGAAAAAGTTAAAAGGGCTAATGTTAAGACTAATTTTGTTTCTGGCTATGAATCTGGCTATGGCTATGAATTACGATTTCTTATTGTCCTTGAATATACTGTGAATGTGGATAATTCACCATATGAACAAAAACACGTTCTAAATTATTAGCCTTTATTTTAGAAACCGTTACTCTCGTTCAGTGCCAAGGTTATTCCTTTACAGATGCTCGAACAAGACATAGAAAGAGAAAATGAAAAGGTGAAGGGGCTGAACGCCACAGGGCAGGAGTTAGCGCAAGCCGGTCACTTTAACACAGCGAAGATCCTGGAGGATACTGAGGTCTTCAGCAAGAAGTACGAACATAACCGACCTCATTTGTGATACGGCTATGCGTCACACGCGATCTCCTATTAATTTATCTCGAGAGAGAGAGAGATACGTCTTTCGCCCAATGTATTGATGAACGCATACATTGCGTGTCGATCCGATTCATTTGAGGTTTACCGAATGTACGTAGTGGCAAGTGTTTGCATTCTGCCCAGTGGCGGCCCCCTGAAGTAGACCCGCGTACATTTGTAGCTGGGATTACACTATCAACTTTCTGTTGAAAAGTGGACGACTTTATCAACTTCCCTTCATTCAGAAGGAGATTATTTGCACGCGCATTTTTGCTGTCGGCACCACACGGGCTACACCTGGTGCTAATTAATACCTGCAAAAACGAGTATCCACCTCGCCCCGCGCCCACACTGCGGGCAAAATTAACGGGAGTCCGGAGTAAAATACTCCCTGATTTACTGTCGGACTCCCTGATTTGACATATGCAGGAGTCCGTGTGACTCCCTGAAAATTCTGCCATACTAACTAGTTCGTTCCAGAGCACGGCCTCGCGGAATTACCTTATTCTCTTTTTTAATGTCCAAAGAAAATTTGGCAGACGTGCAACCGCATGAATAAGCACATGCGTTATTGTTAGAATCTTTCATTTTGAACCTCAGACTGCGGACTCCCTCATTTTGCTGCGGACTCCTTCTTTTTGAGGGTAGAGAGTCAGTTGTCAGTTGGACTCCCGTGTTCAAAAGTTAATTTCTACCCCTGTGTGTGTGTGTTTCGAACAGGTTTGATAAGCTGCAGGGGCCGAGTACGAGTCGCCGCGAGACGCTGGAGACGAGCCTGCAGTACCACCAGTTCGTCTTCGACGTCGACAACGAGCTGCAGTGGATCCACGACCACATGCCGTCAGCAACCTCGTCCGACTACGGCAAGAGTTTGTTCGACGCGCAGAACCTGTACACGAAGCACCAGGTAGAGCCACCGTGCGCGCTGCCAGGGCTAGCGATGTCGCTCCGTGACTAGTTGCGTCGCGGGTGATGTCTCTACGCGAGATTACAATTTAGTCGTTGGTTTGTTAGAGTATCTTTTTCGGTTGTCGTTAGATTGTGTTCTTACGCAGATTTAATATTAAATTTTAGAGAGAGAAAAATTCGCAGTGGTCACAAAGCTATTGGTAATCCGGTAGATAAATAGGCGACGTCAAAAAGAAAACGTTATGATTTAACATTTATCTGCTGAGCCCAACGTAACGTGACACATGCATGTATGTACACCACACGTGTAACTGTGAGGAGAACAGTAGATAATCCTGTACAGGACACTAACATGGACAGTGCAGGCATGAGAATTTTCCGCGGATTTCCGGGTTTTGATGTTCATTTTAGTCATTCTTGAGATTGATGCAAAAAACGAATAAAAAGTTTAGGGGGTAAGGTGTACTTTTTTGTCAAAATGGATGCCATTTTTAATTTAAACTTCATAAAAAGTCAGGAAAAGTACGTCAAATTTCACACATAAGTAACGGAACTCTGGATAAATATCGCGGTGTATCTATGTAATGTAAATGAAGGCATGCATTAAGTTTACCGCCACATAAAACATTGAAATTTTCATAGAAAATTACAAGACTTTGAACAGTGAGAAGGACCTTCATGTTGCAGTCCGGTCGCTCACGCCAAGCCAAAGTTTGTTGAAATTTTGTTCGTGATATTTGTCGAAATTTAGTTGCTGAATTTTAATCAAAAACTTTCTCGTCGCGCAGAAATTCAAGCAGGAGTTGCACAGCCACCAGCCGTTCGTGGAGCGCCGCCTGGTGGAGGGCGAGGAGCTGGTCGCCGGGCGTCACCCGAACGCGCGAGACATCCGCGACAAGTGCTACGAGCTGCGCAGCGCGTGGGACGGCCTGCTCGACGGATCCGCGGCGAGGGAGAAGAAGCTGGAGCTGTCTCTGGGAGCTCAGAAGGTGAAGCCGCCATCCCAAACCCCCAAAAAAATAAAAATCCCTTCAAAATCCAAAAAACCTGGTCGATTTGATATTGTGTTCCTGACATTAATTGCTTGCTATGGGCTATGTATGCGTCACGAGTGTATGTTCTCATCGAACAATATAGTAAAATAAGATTTAAGAAGTATAATGAAGCAATTTAACCATAAAAAGTGAACAGAATTACATATATTTTGTGAAAAAGTGGGAATCTTTTTTTTATTTTTACTATATACGGTGACGTAATCACCTTAATCACATTACTTATACAGAAAGTACTGTCGTTTTTGTATATATTTTTTTCTTCATGTTGTATAGCTCTGTGTTGTACTGTAAATTTTATTATTTTAACTGCTCACCACTATATGACTATTGCATCTATTACATTTTTTCTTTATGAAAAAGACTGTCGTCAGTACATGTATTTATATTTAAATAACATGCAATAAAGATTTAATAATAATAATTATTAATAATAGCTAGCATCGATCGTCCGTTTCAAGTGTTTTGCTTCTTGACTGTGCACTTTTTTCAAGTTTCTTGTGTTTTGCGCAGTTCTACTCGGATGCTGCGGAGATTGAGCAGTGGATTAACGAGAAGCAGCGTGTCTGCAGCAGCGAGGACTGTGGCAAGAACGAGGTGGCTGCCAACAGACTCCTCACCAAGCACAAGGTAGCCTAGTGTCACCGTTGTCACTGTCACACCAACTCCTGTATGTTTGTCATTGTCACCAACTCGATCTGCCAATGCTTGATATATGTATGCCATTGTCACCAACTCGTGTCTGTGAGTTCCTGCATGTTTGCCATTGTCACCAACTCCTGCCAATGCTTGATATATGCATGCCATTGTCACCAACTCGTGTCTGTGAGTTCCTGCATGTTTGTCATTGTCACCAACTCATGCCAGTGCTTGACGTATGCATGCCAATGTCACTAATACTTGCCTGTGCCAGTCTGTGTGCATGTCATTTTCAATGACTGCTGCCTGTGCCTTCCTTCATGTTTGTCACTGTCACTAACTCCTGCCTGTGCCGGTCCGCATGCGTGCCATTCTCAATGACTCCTACCTGTGCTTGATGTGTGAATGCGGTTGTCACCAACTCGTCAGTGACTCCTACCTGTGCGTTCCTGCGTGCATGCCACTGTCACCAACTACTGCCTACGTTTGCCATCTGTGCAATGTCACATATGGAATCTATGGGTATGGTCGTGGTATATAAGTGTGTTCTGTGTTTCAGGCATTGGAGGTGGAGATAGACAGCTATATGACGCGTCTATCTGATCTTAAGCAACTTTCCCAGAAGCTCCTAGACTCAGGCCATCCAGATTCCAAGTCCATCGGCAAGAAAACGGTAAGCACCGATATCGCGTTATCATACTCCTGGTAACGATGTCATTGACTCGATACTGCTACTTAATACCATGTCTATGTTAAATTACATACACATCACATTAATTTTATAATAATAATTATTATAATTATTAAAAAATAATAATATGAATTCTGGTATATATTTTTTTTATTAATTATATTAAATTATATTTTATTAAATAATATGTAAAATAAATTAAAAATAAAATAATAATATTAATTAATGCCGGTAAATCCAGGAAAATCCTCTACAGCAAATCCTCGACGTGATTCTCTCGCATTGACTTTACAGCAACAGATGGAGGCGCATTTGAACAACCTGAAGAAGATGGCGACGGCTCGCAAGCGCCGCCTGGAGGACGCTAGAGACCTGTTTGAGTACGTGCGCGAGAGCGAGGACTTTGAGCAGTGGATCGCGGAGAAACTGCAGCAGGCACAGAGCGAGGACTACGGACAGGACTTTGAACACGTGCAGGTAGGCGAAAACTGTAAAACTGTAAACGTGAACACGTAGAGAAAGTTTGACGAGCGTGGTGGCGGGGCCTTGTCCTAACAAGAACGTGGGTTATCCGCGTAGCTGCAGCAGGCTTTAGAGTGAAGACTATGTCCAGGACTTTGAACACGTACAGGTGGGCAGGCTCGACATAGAGAAAGTTAGTTGGGCCCTATTTGTCTGCCTGTGCAGACTGGCCACAGCAGGCTTAGAGCAAGGATTAGGTCCAGGACTTTAAACATGTACAGTGAGGCAGGCTCGACATAGAGAAAGTTCGTTGGGCCCTGTTCTAACAAGGACGTATGTTGTCTGTCTGGCTGCAGCAGGGTTTAGAGTGAGGGCTATGTCCAGAACTTTGAAGACGTGCAGGTGGGCAGGCTCGACATAGGGAAAGTTTGTCGAGCGTAGTAGCGGGGCCCTGTCCTAATGAAGACATGTGTTGTCCGCCTGGCTGCAGTAGGCTTTAGAGCGAGGACTGTGTCTACGGTCTAGAGATTGAGGGTTGGGAGTTACGTGTGGAGTATCCATTATGGTCGGGTTTGACCTACAGGCAAAGGCCTGCATTGCCGTCTGGCGTGGTTTGATGGTCGATTCGAGGACACACGAGTGTCTTTTTTTTAAGGATATATTATTACGTTTTTACACTGTAGAATGTGTGTGTAGTTATTGTGAATGTCCATAGCACTGCTTTGCAGCTCAAGTCTAAGCAGTCACGTGTCTTCTAGATAGATACATAGCATGTATTCATACGATTACGTATGCATTGCGGGCTGCTTTGCTGTGGACTAGTGTGCCTGCACGATTGGCTGATTTTGTGTTTTCCTCGTTGCTTTACGTCAGGAGTTGCACAACAAGTATGATGAGTTCAAGCTACAGGTGGAAGCAGGGGGTGAGCGGTATGCACAGTGTCAGAAGCTGGCTGAGCGACTTATCGACCACCAGAACCCCCACGCAGACGACATCAAGAACCGACAGCAGCAGCTCAAGTACGTGGCGCCATCTACGCCAATGATGTTGTTACCTTACTTACATCTTCCTACCTTACCTACCTTACACACACCACACAACCTTTCTTAACCTACCTACCCACCTACCACCACCACACCATGCCTAACAATTGTACAGTTATTAATGCTAAACTGTGTTGCCAACCAATTTTATTCCAATGTCCAACAAGAGTGTCAACTTAACTGTGTGTGCTAAGTGTCAGTTTTACTGCAAAGTTTGCCCCGTGACCACAATTTGGGTTGCAGGTTCGGACATTACGAACATTAAACATTCTCGTAGTTATGTGTGTATGTAGCCATATTTTATACTCTGGTTGGGCATCGTACTGTACTACTGTATTATAATAGTGTGTTATTGCATATTTCACTCAGGATAAGCTGGAACTAATTGTATTCTCATAGCACCGAGTCGCTGGTAATCGTTATCCCAGCCTGTAGGTCTGTATTATATGCGTGCATGTATGTTCTCTCTGTACCTAATGTATCTCACTGTGTGTCGTAGAAGGCGACTAAAAGGAGTTGGCGTCAGGAAGGGCATCCGGCTGTAAAACTTTTGCTCCAAAAGCCATTCCATAAAGGAATAAAACTGTCTAACCCCGAAAGGGAAAACGGACATTAAACTGATGATGATGATGATGATGATGATGATGATGATGATGATAATGATGATGATGCATGTTCTGCAGGGAAGCTTGGCAGAGCCTGCTTAAGTCGTCAGAGGAACGAGACAATAAGCTTCAGGCAGCAGGAGAGATACATCGCTTCAACCGTGACGTTGGCGATTCGCTGTCCAGGATACAAGTAAGTGTGTTCATTAAAACTGGTCTTTTCTAATTAAAAATTTCTGATTAATAATTACTAAGTAAATTTCTAGTTACTGGTAATTTGGCGAATGACAATAATGCGACTTTGGTTCAACATGTAACAATTTTACTGTAAAATATTTTTCTTACCAAGTACTGTCAGTAAGTGCCTGAATCACTAAGAGTTGATGGCTGGTTAAGTAGTATATAA